TTTTATGGTCAACCCAGCAAGAGGAAGAAAAATCTGCTGATTTCACTACATTCAAAGCTGAGATTGAATGACTACAAAGTCAATTGGAGAACCTTAAGAGACCCACAGGTGAAAGTATAATAAAGCACTTAGGTTTGCTTTCTTTTTCACATAGTCTAAATGCCCCATATAAACCTTTTGAAAATTCTTAAATTAAATATTTAGAAACCACCAATCATATGATCAGTACTTGTAGATATTTTTATATATATATATTCTCTACTCAAGTAATAAGAAAATTATCATTACAGATGTTTCTCTCAATATTATTGTAGACAAAGACAACATCGAGTTTAGTCCTATCCTTGTCCTAGAAAATATATTACATGTTCCCAAACTGTGTTACTAATCTTGCTTGGTCAATAATTTATCACAGGACTTGAACTGCAAAGTAATATGTCTTCTCTCAATCTGACTTCTTTTTAAATAAAAGTGTTGTATGTATTAATATAATGTGCCAAGGGGACACAACCCATTTACAAAAAAATTACTAGTTAATTAAACTATCGATCACAAAACCAGGTCATTTAAACAGTCAATGTTATGCTTTAAAACAGTATAGTCAAAATAATGAAACCAACTGTCAGTGATGATATTAAAGTTTACTTCTTTTCCTTCAAAAGCACAATTGTTTCTCTCTATCTGGAGGACCCAGAAAATAGTGAGGGGATGAGTTTGAGAGTTTTCCTTATATTGCTAATGCCCTCCCAAGCAAGAAGCTTAGTAGCAATTGAACCATTTGAGATCCAAGATAAACCCATAAGGCTAAGGACAGTGGACCAAAGATTTTGAGAAATAGGACAATGGAGTAGAAGATGATAACGAGTTTCAAGACTGTTTTTACAGAGGAAGCATATGTTGACATGAATGATCCCTCTTTTCATTAAATTATCAATAGTAAGGATGCGGTCTTTCGCAGCTTCCCATGCAAAAAAAAAAAAGAAATTCTTAGAATGGCTCCTGACTTCCATACTATATTGTAGGGGAAATTTTTATGGATGCGGGTGAGATTACCAACTAGGAAATTGTATAAGGATCTGACAAAAAAAAATTTCATTCTTAGTGAGAAGCCATTTTAGTTTGTCTTCCCAATTACTTACATGATTAGTAGCCAAAGTCTGCAGTAAAGATTCGTACTCCTCAATCTCCCAGTCTTGCAAGTTCCTATTTACATTCACTTGCCAAAGCCCAGGAAAGTCTGGATCAACAACATCCATGACCAACATGTTTTTGTCTCTAACAATAGTATAGATGTGTGGAAATCTAGATTGGAGTGACGCCATATCATGCCAAATGTTTGACTAATAGTGGATTTTGTTGCCCTTTCCAATGTGCCATTTAAGAAGGATGAGATTGTTGAGATTCCAAATGTTTTTCCAATGGCTTAGACCATAAGTGTTGTTATTGATTTTGGAATAATCATGATAGTCACCATTAAACCATTTACACGAGATGATCGATTTCCATAGGTTGTTACCTTCATTCCAGAATCTCCAAATCCACTTTCCGAGAAGAGCTCTGTTTAGCTTATCGATGGATCTCAAACCCAAACCGTCCTCTTTGAGTGGTTTCTTGATATCATTCCAGTTTATAAGGTGGAGTTTCCTACTGTTGTTGTCTTCATCACCCCATAAAAAGTTACATTGAATGGATTCCAATTTGTTAGCAACACTAGTAGGAATGTTAAGCACCGACAAAAAGTAAATAGGAAGGTTGCTGATGGTGCTTTTGATGAGACCAGGACTCAACGAAGATGATCAAATGTGCTGAAACCAGAAACAGATTCTCTTACTTTGATGCACTTGGAGATCTTTATTTACTAGTACTACTAACACTACACAAAAGTTTTGGCTCTACCGTGAAAGATTTGTGCACTCATCCTTTTCCATATTGAAAGTTATATTTTATTTGTTATTTAAGAATTCATAATATGAAAATATACATTGCGACATATGTGAGTTTGTCAAATATAAGTGCGTAACATATCTTCCTAGTAATAAAAGAAGTTTAGTTCTTTTTTCATTAATCTACAATGATATTTGGTAATAGATTCACACACTTAATATTTTTGAGACTCAATGATTTTGTGTTATTTGACATTTTGACTAGAGTCACCTAATTTTTCTTACAAAAGTCAAATTCGTTGTCAGACATATCATATCCCAGTTTTATAATATGAAAAAAATTAAATTTGGAACCCACATAAAAAGATTCTGCATTGACAACGCCAAAGACTTTTTTAGTCATGCATTTTCATCATTCTTCTACTAAGAAGGGATACTTCATAAATCATCTCGCTACCACACTTTATAACAAAATGGAGTAGCGGAATGCAAGAATAGTCATCTTCTAATCATCACTAGAGCTTTCCTCTTTTAAAATAACGTCCTAAAATAATATCGAGGCGAAGCCATTCTTACAAGCACCTACATTATTAACCACTTACCCTTTAATGTTCTAGATTTTAAAAGCCCTTTAAAAGCACTCTCCAAGTTCTACCAAGAACTAAGTATCACAAATCATCTGGTTCCTCAAATATTTGATTGTGTTGCTTTCATCTATATTTTATTCTCATCAAAGAAGGAAACTTAATCCTCAGACTCTGAAATGTACGTTTATGGGGTATTCCTATTCTAAAAAAAGGTATATATGCTATCATCTGTCTATACAAAAATTGTATATGCTTGTGGATGTCACATTTGTTGAATATAAATCATATTGAAAGATAATGATACAAATTTTTTAGTTGACTTTACCCTACTGTCTTTGCTACACACTCCAACATCACCTTCACGAGAAAGCCCTCAAAACCCACTAGAAAACTCACCCACTTGAGAGACTGTAACAGATCCTAGATTCACTCAGGTGTATACGAGGAAGAATCTGAGTTCCGAGCCTAAGTCGATCCAAGCATTCGACCTTGATCATAAAATTGAGATAAGTTCCGAAGATCTTATCTAGTCGGATAATATTATACTTATTGTACTTCGTAAAGGTATTGGAGATTGCACTAAGTATTCTCTTTATCCTATTTCACAATTTATCATTTGATAAGTGCTTACAGTCCTTTAAAAATTTCTTTACGAGTCTGAATACTGAGTCTATTTCTAACATTGTATTATGAAAAAATGTTATGAATGTACGAATATAGACACTAGAGAAGAACTAGACATGGGAAGTGGTGAACTTACTCAAAAGAAAAAAAACCTGTTGGGCAAGTGGGTATTTACAATCAAATACAAGGTAGATGGGACATTCGAGAGGTATATAAGTAAAATTAGTAGCAAAATGCTATACACAGACTTGTGGGATAGACGGTTAGGAAATATTTGTAGTAATAGCCAATATGAACACTGTGTGGATCTTGTTGTCCTTAATTATCTACTTTCGATGTGAAAAATGTCTTCTTGCTTAGAGACTTGAAAGAAGAAATCTATATGAAGATTATATCTGGTCTTGTTAGAAAAGCAAGACCAAACAATGTGTGTAAATTAAAGAAGATACTTTATGAACTCAAGCAATCTTCAAGAGTATGATTTGGTAGGTTCGTGAGGGTGATGATAAGGCTAAAATATAAGTAGGTTTAGGAAGACCATACTCTAGTTATCAAACATTCAAAGATAGCAGGAGTTGATTATTATAACAGGAGATGATGAGAAAGAAAAATTAATGCTAAAACAATGTCTGACAAGTGAGTTCAAAATCAAAGAGTTAAATAAGTTAAGTATTTCGTTGGAATTATACTTACCCGCTCAATTGGGGATCTTCATTTCTCAGTAAAAATAGATTCATGACCCATTTGAGAGATACTAACAAAATAGCATGTAAACTAGCTAGTATTTCTATTGATCCTAATCACAAATTAGGAGTAGCAAAAGAAGATAACCAATAGATAAAGAGATGTACCAGAGTTGGGAGATGGATATACTTGTTAGACACAAGACTAGATATTGTTTATGTAATAAGTGTTATAAGTTAGTTCATGCACAACCTTAAAGAAGTGTGCTTACAGACAATGTATAGAGTATGACATTACCTAAAAGGATCACCTGGAAAAAAGATCTTGTTCATGAAGA